GTGGCGCGTGCCTGTAGTCCCAGCTACTCGGGAGGCTGAGGCAGGAGAATTGCCTGAACCCAGGAGGCGGAGGTTGCGGTGAGCCGAGATCGCGCCATTGCACTCCAGCCTGGGTAACAAGAGTGAAACTCCGTCTCAAAAAAAAAAAAAAAAAAAAATCAGATCTCTTGAGAACAGCATGGGGGAAGCTGCCCCCACGTTCCTACTTCAACAAGTGGGGATTACAGGTCCCTCCCTTGGCAAGTGGGGATTACAATTCAAGATGAGATTGGGAGCTGGGTGGGGTTGGCTCATGCCTGTAATCCCAGTGCTTTGGGAGGATGAGGTGGGTGGATCACCTGAGGTCAGGTGTTTGAGACCAGCCTGGCCAACATGGAAAAACCTTTTCTCTACTAAATGTACAAAAATTAGCTGGGTATGGTGGTGGGTACTTGTAATCCCAGCTACTCAGGAGGCTGAGGCAGGAGGATTTCTTGAACCTGGGAGACAGAGGTTGCAGTGAGCTGAGATCGTGCTATTGCACTCCAACCTGGGTGACAAGAGCAAAACTCCATCTCAAAAAACAAAACAAAAAAAAAAGAGATGAGATTTGGGTGGGAGCACAGAGCCAAACTGTATCAGAAGACTAACTAAAAAAGGAGTCCTATCTAGCATATGTAAAGAACTACACAAATCAACAAGAAAAAGACAGTTATTAATAAAACAACAGGAAGATAGGCAAAATAAAATAACAGGCTTCAAAATAGAGGTTATTCTATGACCAAGAAAGTGTTAACAAGTGTTCAACTTTCTTAGTAATCAGAGAAAAGCCTAATATAAACATAGCAACCAGGAGATTGAAATGAAAATGACATAAAATACCAAGTGTTGACAAGGATGTAGAAAACTACACATAAATGTAAAACAACCTATAGAATGTAAAAAGCCATATATAAAAAAGTTCCCGCTCTACAATATTTATATAAAATGTAAAAGAGGTAAAAGTAACCTCTGCAATGTAGTGCAGATATGGCAGTGTAGTGCTCATCCTTGAGGATAGTGGCTGGCTGGGATCACAGAAAAATGGCTGTGGGCTTAAAGTATCCTGTTTTTTAGCTGGGCATGGTGGTGCGTGCCTGTAATCCCAGCTACTCAGGAGGCTGAGGCAGGAGAATTGCCTGAACCCAGGAGACGGAGGTTGCGGTGAGCCAAGATCGCGCCATTGCACTCCAGCCTGGGTAACATGAGTGAAACTCCGTCTCAAAAAAAAAAAAAATAAAAAAAAAAAATAATAAAGTATCCTGTTTTTTAAATTTTTAAATATAAAAGCTTCATTGTGCTACCCACTTATAACATAACCTGTGTACGTTATATTTATTTTTTTTAGCCTTTGTTTTAGGTTCAGGGGTACATGTGCCGGTTTTTTTATATAGGTAAATTATGTGTCATGGGGGCTTGGTGTACAGAATACTTTGTCACCCAGGAAATAAGTGTAGTACGTGATAGGTAGTTTTTTGATCCTCACCCTTCTCTCACCCTTGACCCTCAAAGAGGCCTCAAATTTTATACTTCAGGCAAGATATATAATATACAAATTATATGTATATATGTGTGTGTGTGTGTGTGTATATATATGTGTATATATATATGTGTGTATATATATATATATGTGTGTGTGTGTGTGTGTGTGTATATATATGTATATATATAGTGATGGAGTGTCACTCTGTTGCCCAGAGTGGAGTACAGTAGTGCAATCTCAGCTCACTGCAACCTCCGCCTCCTGGGTTCAAGCGGTTCTCTTGCCTCAGCCTTCTGAGTAGCTGGGACTACAGGCGCATGCCACCACACACGCCGCTACTTCTACCTCTTTTACACTTTATGTAAATATTGTGCAGCAGGAGCTTTTGTACATGGCTTTTTACATGTTCCGTAGGCTGTTTTGAATTTATATGTAGTTTTTCATGTTGTGAAAATGTCACCCAATTAATTATTCCACTGCTTATGTGCATATGAGTGTTTTTCATCTGGAAATTTTTGTAGCTTAGTAGAGGGGGTGGTTTCACCATGTTGGCCAGACTGGTCTTGAACTCCTAACCTCAAGTAATCCACCTGCCACGGCCTCCCGAAGTTCTGGGATTACAGGTGTGAGCCACCGTGTCTGCCGTATGGTATATAAATTTTATCTTAATAAAGCTACTAAAAAATTGGTCAGTATCAAAGTATATTGAGGCTATGATTTCTTTTTGCAGCTCAACTCTCGAATTACTCAGTCATTTTTAAACATCGAGCTTATTGTACATCAGCTGTTTTCCATATAAAAACCTTTTCATAAAGGTTGGGATACAGAGCTAAACTAAGTACGACAAGTCAGCATCTTTTTTTATTTTTTGATACCGAATCTCGCTCTGTTGCCTCAGACTGGAGTGCAATGGTGTGATCTCTGCTTATTGCAGCCTCCACCTCCCAGGTTCCATTGATTCTCTTGCCTCAACCTCCTGAGTAGCTGGTATTACAGGCGTGTGCTACCATGCCCAGCTAATTGTTGTATTTTTAGTAGAGACAGGGTTTCACCATATTGGTCAGGCTGGTCTTGAACTCCTGACCTCAGCTGATCCGACAACCTCAGCCTCCCAAAGTGCTGGGATTATAGGCATGAGCCACCACGCCTGACCAAGTCATCATCTTAATTGTTTGCTGCTGTCTTCTTTAAATGCATCTACTGTGCTGTCCTTTCTTAGGACATCTAAGTAAATTGAAATACTATAGCCCAAAACTTGCATACTCCAATGAACTATTAGGCTTCTACATTTTTTTTTTTTTT